CTTATCTAACTCTGGGGGGTAAGGTGAATAGGCTAAAGTCCCAAAAAGTCGGAGTGTTCCTTTAAAAAAGTATCTGGTAAGAATATATTCTATATTAACAATGCATTAAATCACATTACACATTAATTAACCACAATAAATAAAACAAATTAAGTGATGTCTCAAGTCAAGTGAATTACAAGTCATTGGACAGGCGTCCAATCACAACTGACTTCCGGAAAAGGAGAGTCCCGCCCCTCAACTCTCAAAAATAACATTTGTTTGAGCGAGCAAAAGCAGCAGGCGAGAGCAGATCAAGCGCGAGAGTGTGGAATGATCATGTGCGCGCGCAAGGGCTTGTATTGCTTAATGCCAGAGAATGTCTAATTGAAGAGAATAGGCACTGGCTGGTTACTTCCGGGTTCTGGACTGGCTGCAGTAAGTGCAGACTGGCTGCAGACTGGCTCTGTCCATGCTGTGGCGCTCGCGGTCGAGTGCAGAATGAATGGGAGTCAATGGGGTTTCACCCATTGTAATTTTTTGTTGAGTAATTTGAAAGTTGCATTCAAAAGGAAGGGCTAAGATAATACACTCAGCTCAAAATTGCATTTTTAAGTTCACTTATCTGTTCTAAAAACCCGTTCAAAAATGTGATGACGTCACACAATAGCAGAATGCTAGCGTGTTACGGCCAACAACGGCCTAACCTGTAAGAAATCAAAAGGACATAAGTACTCGTTCATTCGACTTTTGGCCTATAATATATATTGAACTTGCGGAATCAACAATAAAATCTATGTTAATTTAACGACAAGCAGGTGAAAGAGACACTTTTAGCCGTTTAGCCCCACAGACTCCCATTCATTCTGCTCTCGCCCGCGATCACCTCCAGTGGAATTCTAATGGAACTGCAACCAAGATGATACACAATAGGGCTAATAGGAAGTGCCAAGGCTCTCCGTTAGACAGGCTCTGGTAATGCGTACAGAGGAGATGTCACAAACGCGCACAGGATATGAATGAGCTCGCGAGTCCGCGTTTCCTCGCGTGTGGATCTGTTTTCCTCTCGCGAAGTTTTACTGTCTATGCGAAAGTCATTACGCCAGCATCGGTTGTGCGCTCAATTGAAAAAGCTTTAACATTTATTGGTTTAAAAAAGTCACAGGGAAAGAAAAAAAAAAGAGTTATTAGTCTTTCTGTTTGAAAGTATCAAGTATATTTTGTGTATGGGTAATACTGAGGGTGTTATTTTTTTACACATGGAACTCTTTTGAAAACTTTTACTATGCTTTTAGTATTATAGCTACCAAAAATAACTAATCGTGGAAATTGTTAATTATACCATTATATTTAGATCTACTCCCATTTCATAAAAAGTTGCAGCTTTGTATTTTAGTACAGTGCCAACACTATGTAAATAGGAGATTTCGTTGTGCAGTGAAGACAGCATCATTGATTATAACTAATTGAGTTAATCCCCATTGAGTTTTGGGGACAAGTCACTGACTCGCAGGCAACTTGACAGACAACACTTATTGACAGCTATGTATATTTCAGTCTGGACCACTTTCATCAAATACGATTGGCAATTAGCATACAGTTTGGATTGGTGGTATGATTCTGTTCTGGGCAAGAACTCCCTGCGCATCCATGCAGCCTAGCATGGATAAGAGCAGGGAGAGCAGCAATAACCCTCCTTAGGGTAAACAGAACAGAACCAACATGAATGTATGCAGATATCATTAATTCAAGATTTTAAAAGTACAACATAATTCAAGAATTTATTCTGATTCAAGGGGAATCGGAATGCCAAATCCTGACTGGGCGAGAGAAGGAGCTGGGGATGGTGGAGGGTAATTAGCTCCTGCGCCATAGCTGCTGATAATACTTGGAGGAGCTATGTATACAGATAGATGTCGTATTCCTTTTGGTAGATGTGGATCAACTCAAAGTCAGCTAATGCAAGCTTGACTAACGTGACCTGTCAGAACTGACGCTACGCTTAATAATTGAATCAACATTTAAATGGTTTTCATGTTCAAGTTGACCATTTAGACACTGACTTGATTTACTGACGCAAAAACAGCAATAAAAAGTTTTGCCTCAAAAACCATCCGCTGTACATGACTTATCACATATCAAAAAGCACTGATCATATTTTAGCACAGATGTTGCAGAATCGTTTAGCCTGCATTGAATTGCAACTAAGTTTACCAAAGAATACTTGAAACCAAGTATATGAAAATTTTAAACCATTCAATATAATTCAATAATTCAAATATATATATATATATATATATATATATATATATATATATATATATATAAACAGCCACTTTCCTAACATTGCAGGTTACATTTGGAAGGTAATGCAATTTTAGTCCAATTTTCCTGTTTTATACTTTCTCCTGCATATTGCTTCTAACATGCCAGTGATGAATAAGTGTTAATCTGTCTCTGTGCAGGCATTCTTGTGCTTATGTTTTCATCTATATTATGTACGTTAATAACCTGGAATTAGAAAATTAGTCATTTTGCTTAGTTTTAGTGTTTTTTTTTAAATAGTTAAAAGTTACTATCATATTTAATGTTATTATCTTGACAAACTATACATCATTAAAAAGATATAAGACTCAAGTTTCAGTATTTGACCATATGAGCACATGAGCGTCAGCCACTCCCATTCAGAAAAAAAACTCCCATGGTGTCGTCATGATAGAGCTTTACTAAACAACGTCCCTCGGGGCTTTTAGCTCAACAATATGCAGATTTGGAGAAATATTGATCGATTCTCATAGGTTTACATCATATTTCTATAGACAGGAATAATGTTTATTGAATTTATACCCAAATGCGTCAGTGTAATCTTTATGAGCGCTGGATACTCCGATGTACTGTGTTTTCAGTCCATACCAGCAGCCTGAGGGCACCCTTTGTACAGTACAGTCCATATATGGAACACACTAAGAAACCATAATCATGTGACATTCCAGAACTGCCTGACACAAACAAAGCTAACAGATCCCTGTAACATGCAGATAAAGATGTTTTGAAGACAATAAACATGATTCCAATGATATTTGATTTACCTGTGTTCTTCAAGCCCTGACGGGTATTTTCATAATAATAGCTATATTCATAATGTAATGCTAATCGATATAGACTTTATCTTTGTGCAGAATACTATAAAATAATATATTTTCTGTCTTATTTTTTTATCTGAAGCCAAATCAGATCACAGAAGGTTATTTAAAACACTCGACTTGCGTTATAAAAGTAAGTTTGGAGCTCAAACATTGTTTTAATCTAATAAATTGTTGTGTATTGATGGTGTACTAAGCTAACATGCTAGCTAGCTCTAGGTGCACCTGCCACCCATCTGTTATTTTTTATGATTTTTTTCTAAATATAAATGCTTATTGAAATGTTTATTCTTTTTTTTTTTTTCAAAAAGGGCACTTGATATTTAAATGTGAAGTCAGAACTTTGATAAAAGAAATGAGGGAGAATTGAAACAGTGACTACGTTTACATGCAGACAATTTTCGGGTTAAGGTCACTATTCGGGTTTCTGAAACATTAGGAATAACCTGTTTACATGCGTGAGCAGAGAGAGTTTCTCCTGTATAGATGGAATTGCAATATCCCGATGTAAACCGCGACGCGCACTCAAAAGACCAAGATTCCTTGTGAATAGAACATGCGCAGAACACAAATCACTATGGGGATATGCCGATATGCGTTTACATGACCAAAAATTCGGGTTAGAAAAGGGATACTCCAGGTATAATATATATGAGCATATTCGGGTTTTTGCCAGTGTTTACATGGCCGTTCACGACCGGGTTATTGCTAATATCCCGGTTTTGAACGGGTTATTGGCTGCATGTAAACGTAGACAGTGTGAATAGCCAGTCATTAGTGATTATAATGCAGACAAAGAAAAGTATATTTAGAGTCAATAGACTGAATAGATGACAATTACAATAAACACTAGTCTGCATTTTAGAGTCTAATCAAGTCATATGATCTTGAAAAACATTTTACTAAATGCAGAGTTTTAGACTTATCATCTTCAAATTTTAATTTTCAAATTTGCATTTCTAGATTGATACAGTGCAGGCTTCAATTTTATTTTCATAAAGATGTTTCATAAAAATAAATTTCCAATAACTTTACAAAACTTTAAAGCCATTTATAATTTTTTTTTTTTCATCATGACTAATTAATTCTACATTTTTACAATAAACTGCCAGGTTTCAGCTTTCAAATGAGATCATACCCAGCTGGCATTTTAACGTTGAGTTACTGTTGAATCAACGCAGGTGCCAGTGTTGGATAACCGTTGAATTTTGAGGTTGTAGCCTACAAAAAATGTTGATTTGACGTAACTCAAACTCAAAAACTGTTGATATTTCTATGTTGAATCCATAGTGAGTTAACAACACCACTTCAACTATATGGTGTTCAACGTTGTTTTGACGTTGAATTCATGTTTGTTTTTTTCATAAACTGACATTATTTCAACAACATTTAAACTTTTAATGTCAGTCGAATGCCCGGTTGTGCTTTTACTACAAATGGTTCAAGAACTGTATCTGTTTCAGATTGGGTATGCCATTTCTTTGGATTTTTCAAAAGTGGGGTTGCAGCTTAACAGGTTAATAAAATCTGTTTTGGGACTAGCAGAGTTCTGAAACTTAAAGCATTTATATAAAGACTGCTTGTTTATCATTGTTCAAGATGAACACTCAAGTAAGCCAGATGTATGTTGTAGGTCAATGATTAATTAAGATGCTCTAAAGTTATATTGTTGTATTACCTGTTCACTTATTGATCAAAATATTGTTCATATTATGGGCAGTCTTGGCCTAATGGTTAGAGAGTCAGACTGATAACTCAAAGGTTGTGGTTTCGATTCTCTATACCAGCAGGAAATGACTGAGCAGAGAGAGTTTCTCCTGTGTAGATGGAATTGCAATATCCCGATGTAAACCGCGACGCGCGCTCAAAAGACCAAGATTCCTTGTGAATAGAACATGCGCAGAACACAAATCACTATGGGGATATGCCGATATGCGTTTACATGACCAAACCCCCAATCACTCCTCGGGCGCCACAGTAAAAGTGGCCCCCCACTGATTTGGGTGAGTGTTCACGGTTGGCAGTGTGTGTTCACTACTCACTACTCCTAATGTGTGTGCACTAATTTGGATGGGTTGAATGCAAATGACAAATTCTGAGTATGGGTTACCATACTTGGCAATCACTTTCTCTTTTTCACTATTGTTCAATATGTAAAAAGTTAATGTTAAGTTTTCCCCTCAAGTTCTCACAGACATCCTAGCACAGTAACCACAGGTTAATGTACTTCATCATTTACTATGGACATGTTTCACTCATGTTGTCCAAATACGTTTTACATAATGTAAAACCTAAAAAACAAAAATGTATTAGATATATTTTATTCTGCTTACTGTCTTTTGTGTGTGTGTGTGTGTGTGTGTGTGTCTGTCTGTCTGTGTGTGTGTGTGTGTGTGTGTGTACAGAGAGAAGTACTTGCCTACTTTGCTGCAGATAGAGGGAATGCTAAAGCTTTGGTTCCCTCAAGTGACTGCTCAAGATTCTGTGACACCTAACCCTGCTGACTTTTCACTTCGAAACATTTCCACCCTTGGCAAAAGCAATACCACTCCTCCACACAAGCACAAAGACCAATTACATATTCCAGTCAAGGTTCGTGTAGATGCACACAAGAGACACATATCAGTTCAGTTGGTGTACTCCATTTACACTATGTGAATTTGTAGACATTGATGCCCTTTCTTATTTTCTTGGCTCTTGCAGAAGCGAAGATTGAGCTGGTCAGACACAGACTCACCCTCCTCTTCTCCTCCTGTGGTGTGTAAGCGCACCAAATGTTGTGAAGAGGACCCCTCTTCAGGGACCCCTTCCCTTTCCTCACACATGAACCAATCAGACAAGCGAGTTAGTGAAACCCTGGAGCACAAGGTCATCCGGTGGTCAGGTTCAAGGCTGACATGGGTGCACATTGCTCCAATCTTCTCCCCACCTAAATCTGGTCCCTCTCATGAAGGTGGAATGGCTAATGATAGAGAGAGCGGCAGAGTCCTCCTTCCAGTTTCCCCTCTCACCAGCAGGAGCAGTCCAGCCACGCAGGACAGCTTCATCTCTTCCACCACATCTTTTTCAGAGCCAGATGGATGCCAATGCCAGTCTGTGAATTTAGAGACAAGAAGTCCATTGCAGGAATACACCCAGATCCCACAAATCACAACAAAGCCTTCAAACTTAGAAGAGCAAAGCCCTTTGCAAACCTGATGCAGAAAAACCAAGCACAACCAACCGGATGGGATGTTGAATTGGTTGTCTATTACAGTGATTGAAAAAGTATTTGTAAAGAATAAGTTTAAACTCAACATATAAGATTTTTTTTAATTGATTGGGTTGAAAATTGGCTGTTTTTGAATTAGAAATGACTATGAGAGTATCTAAATTAAAGGTGACGTGTGTGAATTTGGTGTCACTGCCATCACCAAATAGAACTGCAAAAATAATCATTTAAAAAAGGTTTTCAAACACTCCCCCATCAGGAATTGGTCAGCCAAACAGAAAGCCTTGCTCAAAAATCAAGGTATTGGTTGAGCCAGTGTTGTGCTGGACAGGATACTCAAACAGTGTTTGCATGATAATATTTTAACATCCAAAAAATTACACAGTTCACCTTTAAGGAAATTTTAAATCATGCAGATGTTCATTGACTTCTGGAGTGTGTGTTTAAATCTGAGGAAAAGACGTTGAATTTGCTTTCCTAACATGAGATCAAATTAAAATGAGAGAACAATAATTTTAATGGAAGGATAACACAAGGTCAAGCCAGCGGTAGAACTTAATAGAAATTAGATGGCATAGAATAAAAGGGTTAGTTTTTACTATAAATGTGTTGTTTTCTCAAATTACTACTGAGATTATTGGAATTATATTTGTGTTAATTACCATTTGAAAAAGTTGGCAGTAAAACAACACAGTTGTAGCATGACAAGCCCTTGTTATAATTCTGAGGAAAAATGTAGCAGGATCATAACTGACTTTTTAATATCTGATATTTTATGAATTTATGAGTGGATTGTAACAGAAGTTGTGAGAGTTTTTTAACTGCATTTTATAAGTGTGTGTGTGTGTGTGTTTGGTGGGGGTTTTAAATGTAAATCAAACCACATTATTTGCTGTAGAATCTGTGACAACTGCTCGAACTGAAAAAAGTACCCACAACTAATATATACATAAGTGATGATATCTCAACCTGATATAATGTAGGAAATTATGTAATACCCAGATTGAAAGAGAAAAGAAAGTTTCCAGAGTCTGAGTCTGCTTGATTGAAATATTGTGTAAAGTGCACTGAAGTAGGCTTTTGGAAAACCTCCTGCTCCTCCTGTCAGATGTGAATTTAGGTGCTTGAATGAGGCTGTGCAGTTATATGAGACGTCCTATTAAACAAGGGTCAGAAGTCTATGCCAACTTTTATTTATTCAATTGTTGATTTCAATATTTATTTATGTTTATTTGTATATGTATTTATCCATATGGCAGCTGAGGTCATTAGAGCTTGATCAATCATGGAATATTTTTCTGTGTGGATATAGTAGAGGAAAAAATGAAGCAATTCTGATACTGGGAAACCTGTGCCTTTTTTCTAAAAAGGATATTCATATTCATACTTGTCTTTGTTGATTGTGTATTTTTATCAAATGGTAGAAAACACAAAATCTTAAAATGTTCTTATGCACAAGTTTATTCATGAGAAAACTGCCTTTGGACACAAAGTATCAATTTACCACTAAAATCACAGTGAATTACAGTAACCAATAACAAATATGTCAGTAAATTGGTTATCATAGCAACATTCAAAGTGGTGCTGTATTTTACATTTATATTTAATAATTTCATTGCACTCATTTTTAATCCAGAAACAACCGAATTTCTGGGATCATTATGTTGGGAGCTGATGAATTATAATGTTGAATTGCACTTGTGCATCAATTAATGGGACAACAATTGCATCAACGTGCTGCTAAATCACCGATTTTTTACAAGAGATTTTAATTGCTTAATGTCCAGCTGCCCTATAGCTATAGAAATTTTTTCCATGATAAAAAATTAGAACTGATAACTGCATCACATTTATTATATGTAATTTACTTTTTATGTTTTTATGTTTTTATTTTGTCATGTTTTATATTGTACAGGTTATTTAAGACAAAGACCAAGAGCATAAAGGTTCATAAAGGATGTATATTGGTTGTTAAATCTGTATTTTTAAATAACTGTTATACCATGCAATCTACACACTGGAATCTGTCTGCTGTCTGTCCTTCTTTCCAGTCACGTTGTCTTTCACCTGTTTTTCCCTTCTTCATCCCTTATTTACTTTTCTCTATTTTTTCTACTTTTTACTGTTATTCATGCTTTTTATAACGAAGACAAACCTTTTAATAAATAATGCATTTTGGAAAGTACCATTTGAATAAGTTTTGTTTTATTGGTGTATGTACATCATAAAAAAAAGTTTATATTGTTGTTCTGTCTATGTGGTGTTTTTAATATGCTAAAAGACAAACCAAGTGCCAATTCATGGCAACAGCATTACTGAGTATTTTTTCTGAAAACGTGTAGGTTACGACTGTAACCTCTGTTCCCTGAGAACAGGGAACAAGACACTGCATCGGTTGATGCTCTCATTTAGCTTTCACCTCCAAACTGTACATTCTTCAACTCCCCTTAGGATTACGTGGAGGAAGAATAGCAACCATTTTTAAGAATCTTATTTTGTAGGTCCTTGTCACCTTTTTTTTTCTTTTGGACTCAGCTTGTTTGTATTTGGTCGGTCGAATCCGATACTAAGTGTAGTAATCTACCGCCCACATAAATATAACAAACATTTTATAAAAGTGTTTTCCGATTTCCTGGCTAGGATCATGACAGATTATTTTAAATGCTGGTGTGTTTTTAACACACGTCTGTTCAGGGCCAGCTCTAGCCCTTTGGTTGCCCTAGGCGAGATTGATTTTTTCTTCTGCTTATATTAATATAATTCAGTCTGGTAATAGTTACAGTATGTGGCTAACCTTGACACAGAACAATTACTTTCTTCTTTCATTTCCACCTGTGCCAACATTCTTAATACTGTTGCGCCACAAAAAGTTAGGTGTCTCAGATCTAAATCTGAGCTATGGTTTAGTGCAGGAGAGCTGAGCGCAGGTGGAAAACAGACAGGCTCCATGTGTCATAAAGGCTGATCTAACTGGGAGGCTTCACGAGAGGCCTGTATGACCAGACTCAGGAGGCCGAGTAATCATAGTGACCTTCAGTGAGGGGAGCACATGGCCTGCCAGGTAGGTAAACCAGGCTGTGGGGTAGATAAAATAGACCACTTCAGTCATGCTAGGGCGCAAGCTCACTTTCATAAGCTGCCTAATTCGTGGGAACTCAGCCCCAGCATGACCTGATAAGGCCAGCTGCCCAGTCCTGGGGCTCAGTCTCGGAGCGGCCTCTTAAGTTTTCTTATGTAAGAAACTGACTGCCATGGACCAGTAAGGTTGGGGACTGAGCTACATGGTGGCCTGATAAGGCCAAACGCCTGATATTGGGTCTTGCTAGTAGGGTTGGGCCGATGGTCGATATCATCGTGATTGCATCGGCTAAACATCGTGCCCCCCCGTTTCCATGGTGACGCGTTATGCGTGAAATGTGATTCACCACCGCCAAAATAGCGCTCTATTGCACATTTAGCGCTTTTATTTCAAAATATTTTCTTAGCTTGTAACTTGCTTACCATTTCATGATGACAAATGTGTAAGTGAGTTTGTTTTGCCGTTGTAAAAAAAAAAGAAAAAAATCTTGATCTGTAACGTGAGATGGGTGCCGTGTTTGGGCCGCAGATCAGACATTTCTGTCTGTTGGATGTATTACAGTGTGGGGATTCATCAGTTTCTGCCGAAATACATGAAAGTAAGTGTCACAGTGCTCCGTCTGCATCAGTCTGTCTTGTCTTCAGCACTACACTTCCCATGATCCTCTCGTCTGCACATCTGAACTCACTCCCTCATCAGCCTCCCGTTCAGCATCCTGTTCATCTGTTTCACCTGTTTTCACCCCATTATGTTTGATTCTTCTGTGTATTTAGTTCCCTCAGTTTTACTCTGTCTTTGTCGGTCAATGTTGAATGTTACCCGGTGTACCCCGTCTTCCTGCCTGTATTCTTATTAAATATATATCTTCAGTGACAGTGACAGCATGGGTGTGACAGTGACAGCAAGTGACTCACCACCCTCAACATATTCCAAGACGGACGCTCATCTGAGGAGTATGTCGGCAGGTTCCTGGAGCTCTCTGCTGGGGTAAGTTGGTCAGATGACGTCCTAAAGTCAGTCTTTTGGCTGGGTTTGGACGATCATCTGTACCAGCAAGCCCCAGCAGCAGCGTTTCCTGGAACCTTCGCCGAATACCTGGACCATGTGTTGTGGTTGAATGGGTCAGCCTTCACCGTTGGTGAGGCTGAAGATGACAGCACCACTCAACCACACACCCACCGTCATCACCACACCTGTCATCATCACCCACCGGTCAGAGCCCTCTTTACTGCTGGTTCCGTCCAGCCCTCCCGAGTCAGGTCTCCCCTCTCCGCTGGTTCCGTCCAGCCCTTCCGAGCCTGAACTCTCTCCTCCGCTGGTTCCGTCCAGCTCTTCCAAGCCTGAACTCCCCTCACCGCTGGTTCCGTCCAGCCCACCCGAGCCTGAACTCCCCTCACTACTGGTTCCGTCCAGCCCCATCCAGCCAGCGCCAGAGACCGTCCAGACCGTCCCTCCAGAGACCGTCCAGACCGTCCAGCCAGAGACCGTCCAGACCGTCCAGCCAGAGACCGTCCAGCCGGAGACCGTCCAGACCGTCCAGCCGGAGACCGTCCAGACCGTCCAGTCTGAGACTGCCAGACCGTCCAGCCAGAGACCATCCAGACCGTCCAGCCAGAGCCCGAGACCGTCCAGCCAGAGCCCGAGACCAGGATCCCACCCAGCCTCCCTCTCCCATCTCCTCCCGTCATGCAGCCGTCAGCCCTTCCGTCTGCCAGCTCCCCTGACCCAGCCTGGTCGTGGGATCCCCGGTTTTTTTGTTCTCCACATGGACACTTCCTCGGCCCCCGGTCCCATTGGCTCCCCCGTGGCTCATACCTCCCTCAGCTCCTCCATGGTCCCTCAGTCCACCAGCTCGGCCAGGCTCCCTCTGTCCTCCGGATTCCCTTCACTCCCTCGTCATCCTCCCCTCACCTATGGACTTCCTTCCTCTGGCTCCGCCCCATTATGTCACCCCTCCGGTTCAGTTGGACTCCTCACTCCCTCCAGTCATCCGTCAGCCCTCACTCCCTCTGGCCTCACCGTGTCCCTCCGTGCCCCTGTCGTCACCTTGGTCACCTGAGCCTGTGTTATCACCATGGTCCCTTGGTCCCTCGTCAGCACCCCGTCTCGTCAGTCGCTCAGCTTCACCCTGGTCTCCTCTCTCACTTGCTCCGCCCCTGTCAGTCGGCCCCCTGGTGTTGTCAGCCCCGTCTCCTTCAGCTCCACCAGGAGTCCTCCCTCCATCTGCTCCGCCCTGGTCTCGCCCTCAGCCTGCTCCGCCCTGGCCACGCCCTCAGCCTGCTCCGCCCTGGCCACGCCCTCAGATTGCTCTGCCCTGGCCACGCCCTCAACCTGCTCCGCCCTGGCCACGCCCTCAACCTGCTCCGCCCTGGCCACGACCCGCTCAGCCCTCAGATCGTCCCCCCTCCTTCCTCTGTTCTGCGGCATGAGGTCACGCCTCCCAGGAGGGGGGAGTTCTGTCACAGTCCTCCGTCTGCACCAGTCTGTCTTGTCTTCAGCACTACACTTCCCATGATCCTCTCGTCTGCACACCTGAACTCACTCCCTCATCAGCCTCCCATTCAGCGTCCTGTTCATCTGTTTCACCTGTTTTCACCCCATTATGTTTGATTCTTCTGTGTATTTAGTTCCCTCAGTTTTACTCTGTCTTTGTCGGTCAATGTTGAATGTTACCCGGTGTACCCCGTCTTCCTGCCTGTATTCTTATTAAATATATATCTTCATTGTGACTCTGGAGTCCTCTAGTTCCTTCTGCATGCTCCACACCCGTGACAGTAAGTGGCCCAGAAAAATAGAGTTGACTTCATAATCATTTAAACTGTGTCTCTCTGATATGAATAAAAACCGTCGTCAAATATTTGAATGGGTTGTTATTTCTGCTTCCATAGACACCATTCTGTATTTTACAAACTAAAAATGTATTGTTTTGCTATTATATATATATATATATATATATACTGGTTTTTAAATGTCTGAAACCTAAAATAAATATTATGTGGTTAAAAACACTGAACAATATAGTGATGACGAGGGCTGCGCGCGTCCGTCTTTGGCTCAGCGCCAGCCATAACGCGAAAGCACGCAGTTTGAATCTGGCAGTTATATCACAGTACATTCGCTCCATAGACTCGCTTTGTGCTCAGCTGCTGCAGAGCGTGCCGAATTCGAAATTTCTGATAAGATATAGAAGAAAATATTATGTGGAAAATGAGAATATTAAGAAAATACCCCCTCCCCCGACTCCCTCCCGATATCATCGTCCATCGCGATGTTTCACTGACATCGTCTGATGCCAAATTGATAGACATCGCCCAACTCTGCTTGCTAGCTGGCAAAGATTACCCACGCTGTTGGGGGTTTGCCTTTTGGGAGGCTTAAACGGCTAACCATACAGTGGTAAATCCTTTTTGGCTGATCATAATTGGGACTCACCTACAGAGAGATCCACTGAAGCCAATTGTCTGATTGGCCAGTGAATTTATTAGCCAAGCACGCCATGTTGGTGCTCAGGGTCAGGGAGGCCTGCTAAGGCCAGTGCCTGACCGTCAACACTGCTGGCTGTATACCTTGTCACTTGAAACTCACTTTGAGAATTTGAGAGGCCCACTAGGCCTGAAACAAGCCAGTGCTGTCAGCCATATCAACCCACCCATACTGTTGGGGACTCACTTTCAAACACAACACAGTTGGGAAACATACTACACCAACACAAATATTGGGGCCACCCACACGAGGCCTCTTGAGGCTGGCTACATGAACGAAGCTATAACGTATGTCCCAAACCATTGGGACTCTTTTCCGAGCAGGTCTACTGCCTAAACTATTAAGGCCAACCACCCGAGGCAAGCTGGCCTAAGGAGCCCTTTTTGGGGGCTGCCCGTCAAGGAGGCCTGCTGAGGCCTACTACTTGACAGCACAGCCTTCATTGGCAGATAAGCTGTTTACACAGCTCCTACAGTATCCTGGGACCTAACCACATTGCCCATGGCAGTGTACTCGGCAAAAACACAAGGGCTGTATAACATGTGCCACCCTGCCTCAACGGAGGCCCCAGACTCAGGGGCCTACTATCTATATGCATGGGTGTTCAGCTCATTTGTGCACCC